CCAGAACCTTCAGCATTCAGCTCTTTGAAAAGGTGAGGACATCTCACTTTGGCACAGTGGCATCTCTTGTCCAGTAACCTGGAATTGGGATGCACAGTGATGTCAGTCTCTTCTGGGCACTTGAATCGCCCAGGGTTCAAATGTCATGTTTGGGATGTGTATGAGCTGGGCAGAGAGAAAGCCACTCTGCAGATACATACAAAAAGAAGAAATGAGAGTCCCCAAAGCTCCAGAATATGAGGCAGGCAGAGCCAGCCTGTGATGGATTCAGTTTTATCTTGACGTCATGAAACCGAGCCATTTTGTTTTTGGGGGCGAGTAAAGAACATAGACTTTGATGTCAGATAAAGCTGACTTTGAATCTGGTCTCTACTGACTACCAGAGACCCTGGGCAAGTTACCTCTCAGATTCTTCCTTATCTGTAAAAGTGGGAATAATGTCTAATTCAGAGGGAGATACTATGATAATTAGTTAATAGGGTACCCATAGCACAACCTAGTATATGATAGATGCCCAATAAATGTTTTCTCCATCGCCCCCACCCATAGATAGGACCAGAACATGTGACTTAGAACTAAAAAGTGCTCCTGTCTTCTGACACTAAGAGTCTCTTCAAAAAGCATCGATTGATCTGTTCTACGCCAAGCCCTGTCTTGCGGCTTAGTTTCCAAGAGTGAAAAAGATACTGTCTCTAATCTCCAACAGTTCAGTGTGATAAATGCCACCATAGATAGAAGTGTGGGAGAATTACAGGAAAGAGGAAGGAGGAGTGCCTCAAGGCGGTGATGTCTACCTGGCAATGGAGAGCTCAGTCATGCCCCTCAATCAAAAAATAAGATTTTTATACATAAAAACATACAGCAATGTAGATTTTTCTCACAACGCACACAATTTTAAATACTTGCAGAATTCTCTTTTACTTTTTAAACAGTGCCTAACATCTGACATTTCCTAAGCATGTAAGTTGTATTTAATGGTTACAGAGTGCCCTTCTCTTATTGGTTTACTCTTCTCTTTTAAAATGTCATTATCCTAGAGCCACTTGATTGAGGCAGTGGTGTGCAACTTTAGGGAGTCCCCAGATCCTCAATAGTGATAGGGTCTTTCAGTTGTTTCCATTATTGCCAAAGTCCTAGTATTAGTCATGTTTAACCTTTTCCCAGGAGCTTTAACAGCTGCTGCTTTGCTTTCAACTAGAATCCTAACATGCAGTAAGGCAATGCTGGTAGGCCCAGGCTGGGTAGAAACTTGGACTGGCTGTTACAGAGGACTTTAATTTTTTAAAAGGAAAGAAAGCAACTATTCATACAAAATGCGGTTTTATTTCGTACTCAAATCTAGCACAGCTTTGGAAAAATGTAACTGAAAGAGTTCTTAGTGGTAAAAAGGCTGGAAACCCCTGAGCTCAGGAATCTTGAGTTCAAAGGATAAAGAACTCTCTTTTACCTATCAGCTGCCCTTCTGTGGCTTCCTGACCATAATCAACAGAATATCTAGTTCAGTTTAGTTCAGTTTGTTGTTGGGCCAGGAGGAGGCTGGACTGGGTGGGGGTGCTCAGAATAGCGGTGAAAGTTCCAAAACCAGTCCTCAAAGAGAAAAAGCTGAAAGAAATTCTCCTTGCCCGCCCTTGCTTTGTTCTACTTGCACCTGAAACCATTTTGAATGAGTATTACCCACTTGCTATATGACAGGTACTTTACATGCATTTCTTTGATCAATGCTCATTTCACAAATCCAATCACACTGCTAGCAAGTAACTGAACCAGGATCATGAACCCAGGTAAATCTTTCACAATATGCTATATTGCCTTTTCAGCTCAGATGAGGCATTCTGGGATTAGGGCATGTCCCTCTACCTTTTTTAGGCTCCATTACTTATGGGTGATAATGTATGAATACTTTGTTTTCTTCTATTTTTCTGTAGTTTTAATTTATTTTCTAATAGGAACTATTACATCTCTGATGGGAAATGCAGTTTTAAAAAACTGCTCTTTTTTTTTGAGAGGGCATCTCTAATATTTATTGATCAAATGGTTGTTAACAATAAAATTCTGTATAGGGGAGTCAATGCTCAATGCACAATCATTAATCAACCCCAAGCCTAATTCTCGTCAGTCTCCAATCTTCTGAAGCATAACGAACAAGTTCTTACATGGAGAACAAATTCTTACATAGTGAATAAGTTACATGGGGAACAAACAGTACAAGGGCAGTCATCACAGACACTTTTGGTTTTGATCACTCATGAACTATAAACAATCAGTTCAAATATGAATATTCATTTGATTTTTATACTTGATTTATATGTGAATCCCACATTTCTCTCTTTATTATTATTATTTTTTTTATTTTTAATAAAATGCTGAAGTGGTAGGTAGATGCAAGATAAAGGTAGACAACATAGTTTAGTGTTGTAAGAGAGCAAATGTAGATGATCAGGTGTGTACCTGTAGACTATGTGTTAATCCAAGCTAGACAAGGGCAATAAAACACCCACAGATGCAGAAGATTTCTCTCAGAACAGGGGGGGTGAGGTTCTAAGCCTCACCTCTGTTGATCCCCAATTTCTCACCTGATGGCCCCCCTGCGACTGTGCCTGTCTTAGGTTGTTCCTCCCTTGAGGAATCTTACCCGTCTCTGGCTAACCAGTCATCTTCCGGGGCCATACAGGGAGATGTAAAGTTGGTAAGTGAGAGAGAAGCCATATTGTTTGAAAAGGTTAGCTTTTTACTTCTTTGCAGATTTATGCCCTGTGGCTTCTATGCCCAGCACTTGTCTCGAGGTATCTTTACCACCTGGAGGAATTATGATACTCGGTAAATTCGATATGAGGCACGAATTCTATTTAAGGGTTGTAATTAGGAAGGAAGAAGAAAAGCTATAGAGGTAGCATATGGAAGAAAACATGGGAGGATTGATTATTTCTTTGACATATCTTCTTGTA